TTGGCGCGCAACCTGAGTCCTAACGAGAAGTGTTGCTCTGAGTTTAAAGCGACAGTATCATTCAATAAGTTGTCTAAAAATACGAATATGGGTATAGACAGAAATGACAAAATTCTAATTACAATAGACAGATATAATAATCTTTTACAAGAAACAGTAAAAATGTACTGTTATAAATAGAGCTATTTTTAATAATATTAGTAACGACTTTGTAAAATTGTCTTTTTAAGAATAAACAACCTTACAAATAAACGCAGTTTAAAGTTAGTTAGGAATAACCTGAGTACAATAGAACCTCTATAAGTTAAAGTTCAAGTGAAATACAAAATATTTTAAGTTACAGAGGTTTTAAGTTATCAAGGGTCTATGTTATAGAGGTTTTGGACTCTGATGGAAAGGGAACATATTATTTTTTGAAGTTATAGAGGTTTTTATGTTATCGAAGCTCGACTGCAAAAGCAAAAATAAGTACAAATATTGCTTATACAGTTTATTACTAAGTTTAACTTTATACCACGTTTATTTGAACCTCATGGCTTTAAAAATTATTTGTTTTTTAAGACTATGTTCTACATCTGTGTAATCTCAGCAAGATTCGCTGAATCGTTCTTTACGTAGTAACATACATACATCCTAAACTGTGGCATTTATATTAGTAATAAGTAAAATTACCTTGGAGTGGAATTGATCGATTTGTTTGTGCTCTCTCTGATGTTTGTCGAGTTCGTGTTGAACTGTAGGTAGGTCGGATCCGTATTCCGATTCGTGCAGTTTTTTCTATTAAGAAAAAAAAACACAAGTTAATTAAAAAAAATAGCATTAACTGATTCAAGATTCATTTTACATATGTAAAATGTATAGATATATTAAAGACTCCATCCTCGTGGAATTTAAATAAAAACAAAAGTAGCTTATGTGTTCTTCCAGACTATCCATCTACATCTATGCCAAATTTTATCGAAATCGGTTCAGCAGTTTAGGCTACAAACTCTAACAAACATCCATCCATCTAAATTTTCACATTTATAATATCTATCTTATATCTATATTCTAAAGATCTTAAAGTATTAAGAAAATCTAAAGTTTCCTCACCAGTCTCTCCTTACACCACTTGGTGGCAGCATGCAGCTGCTGGAACTTGGGGTCAGCATCATGCACGCGTGTCTCCAGTACAGTGCGTGTCTCGCGGCGAACCGTGGTCTGCTGGACTGGCATGCGCACTGACGACAGTCGCGGCACTAACCGTCCAGTGAACGACTGACGCGCGTTCACCCAACGCTCGTGGATTTGTTGCACTCTAAATAAGTATGGATATGCATTATAAGGGTTGACTGAGGGCAGATATTTATGCCAAATTGAGCTTTATTCAATTGAAATAACGTTTAATTTTGCTTTACATGTATTTTGCTTGCACACAATAAGATGTTCAAAGTAAAATAGACCTTGTTTCAATCACATAAAGCTCAACTTTAGATGCAATAAAAATCTACTCGAACTCTGAACTGATCATAAGGTAGTACCAGAGGAAATCACAAACAACTTATTTAAACCAGAAACATGCCCTAATTGATAAAGCAGTATTTGAAGACGGATTATCAAATACAATATTTAATTCTAGAACATTCTAGACTCACCGTCGGTGCAGTTCAGTAGCCTGGGGGTATCTTCCTTCGCGTAACGCGTGGCAATCCTGGAACATATCTTGTATCCCATGTTCCATAGCTCTTAGCTCTTGTTCTATTTGCTCTGCTGCCAGTTTAGCCTCAGCGGGGTGCACGCCGCGCTCCAGACGACGGATCTCTGACTCTATGTGCCGTTCTACGTTCTCTAGACCTGATTCCGTTTGTTTTATGTCCCTAAAGGAGAAATATGGTTTTGTTACCGTTTTTACTCTTGTGAAATCTAAGATATTGTTATTTAAGACTATATGACTATATGACTAGCTATTTCTCGCGAATTCGTCTGCGAGAAATTAAAAAAAAATAAATAAATAGCCTGTGTTAATAACTGATAACGTATTAGCTTTTGAAATCAGCCCAATAGTTTTTGAGATATTTCAATACATACAAAAATACATAGTTTTCCTCTTTATCACATTAGTATATGGTAGATATATCATTTCTATAAATTTGGCAATATTTGTATTACAACCATAACACTT